GCGGACACAACATCTTTGTTGGTATGTGGTGCTGAGGATCGAACCCGGGTCGCACGCATGCAAGGCGAGCGCGCTACCGCTTGAGCCACATCCCCAGCCCTGCTGTGTGATATTGTGATGCATAGAGTATCCCCCAAAACCTATAAAATCTCACTGAACAAAGGACCAGGGCTCACTCCCTGGGACCACTGCATTGGAACAGTTGTGAGTCCAGGCTCGAGCTTGCAATAAAGACTCTTGTGTAATTGCATTGGATCCGGCTCCTGGAGGTCTATTGGGGTCCCATGAATCTGGCATTACACTATGAGCTCATCAATGGATTAGTCCACTGATGAGGTTGTCACCCCAGAGCCCCACTCTGCTGCACTGGGAACCAAGCCTTCAACGCATTAACCTTCAGGGAACATTCCAGATCTAAACCATAATAGTGCTCTAATTTGGATCTTAAACGCTCACTAAAGGCCCATGTGTTGGAGGCTTGTTCCTCAGCCAGTGGTGCTATCAGGAGACGGTAGAGGCTTTAGTAGGTGGGACCTACTTGGAGGTCTCAGGTCACTGGGAATGTATCCTAAAAGGGTCTGGGGCTGAGGCTGACAGTCTCTTCCACTGTCTTAGCTTCCTAGCCACCATAAGGTGAGCAGCTTGCTGCACCACAGGCTCCCTGTCATGATATGCGGCTCTGCCACAGATCCCAAAGCAATAGGGTCAAACAACTGACCCTGACTGAAACCTGTAAAACTGTCACTCAATATATACCTTCTCTTTTTTATGTTGATTTCCCAGATTCCACCCCCCACACACTTTTTTTTTTTCCCCCAGTACGGGGGATTGAATACAGGGGCACTTAACCATGAACCACATCCCCAGCCATTTTTAAAAAGTATTTGATCTAGAGATAGGGTCTTGCTGAGTTGCTCGGTGCCTCGCTAAGTTGCTGAGGGTGGCTTTGAACTTGCCATATTCCTGCTCAGCCTCCTGAGCTGCTGGGAGTACATGCATGCACCACCACACCCTGTGATTATCTCAGATTTTTAATTCCAGTAACAGCAAACTAACATATTAGGCTTGTTTTTCTGTGTAAAATTGTTGTTTTTTGGAGGACACCAAACACTCTTTACCATCTTTGCATCCATAGACTTAAATAGAATACTTATCATACATATCTGATGAATTGATTCATTTTGTTATACCATCCAAGATTAATAGTACCACCTTCAACAAGAAAGTAATGTTGTAGTTGACCTTCAGACTAAAGCCTCCTAAATCAAATGAGATCATTACATTAAACTTGATAGAGCTCATCCATATGATGCTTTAAAAACCAACCAATTTCTATTTTAGGGCAGAGTATGTGGCCCATTTAGATAAAATATTTATCTTGCCTTAATTTAAGCATATAGCTATGCAATATTTACTAATGTGTCCATTCTCTAACCTTGGACAAATTACATTATGTCATCTTGTAACCTTGGTTTCCAAATCAATAAAATGAGGAAAATTATAACATCAGAGGGTAGTTGTGAAGAAATACAGTAACACATGCTGATCATTAAGATAATGCTCTAAAAGAGGCATTTGATAAATGGTGGCCATTTTTAACTTTCAGAGAAATAGTAAAATAAATTTGTAACACAATTAAAGCATATTACTACACAAGTGTCTATGATGTTACCATCTTTGTGGGAAGCAATTTTTCTAAGATAATATGTTTGTGATGAATCCTTACATCAACAAACAAGAAGAGTTAGGAAAGAAATAAGTACCCCTGTGGGTCCATCTCACAATGTCACAGCTAACATTTTACAAGGAAGGTATCAGAGTACACCTTATATATCCTTTAAGAAAAATTAAACTATAATCAAACCTGTCTGTAAAGAACAGATTCCACTTACCATTTGCTCTTTTACTCATTATTCTCCATAACTGAGATACTGGCAAACTTTGATGCTTTATTAGAAAGAATTAATGTATCAATGTCTGAATTAGACAATTGTGGGAATTAGACAATTGAATTGCAGTTATGAAGAGAATGTTCTTGTTCTTAGGAAACACCTGCTGAAGTACTGAGGGATAAAGAGGCACGACGTCTACAACTAACTCTCAAATAACTGGTGGGGGGAGGGTATACATTTAGTGGAACAGAGAATAAACAACTGATGTAAAACATTAAGAAGCCACAGAAACTCTCTGGCCCTCAGTCTTCATGTTAGAAGAGGGCTGTTTTATTCACACTGTGAGTGATGATACCCATCTACAGGTCAGCATTAGAAAAATGTTAGTCTGGATACTGGGTTTACATCAGTTCTTGGTACTTATTCTTCAGTAGCTTTTAGACTGTTTCAAGATCAAGACGAAAACACTTCCTAACTCAGTCGGCTGAGTGCAAGAGGCCCACGTGCTTCTTTCCAAACCACAGAGCTGGGTGCTTTCAGGAGCTGGTTTGTATTTGTACCCTAAAATAGCTATGCCTAGTAGAGTCTAATTAAATGTTTAAGCTAATGAAATATATACAGTTACTGTTTCATGAAAATTCAATCCATAAAAAGTGAAAACAGGAAGTGGGTGGAATGAAGCAGACTTTATTACCCTACATACACGTGTGCTCACACTGCCCGTGTGACTGCACCGGGTTCAGGCAGAGCAAGGCGAAGCTGGGCTCCGTTTGTGTACAGTGTGTCAAAATGCATTCTGTTGTCATGTGTAATAACTAATTAAAACAACCTTTTTAAAAATCTCAAAAAGTGCACAAGAAATTACTATAGAGCTTAGACATGGGAAAGACAAACCTCTACAACTCTGGGAAAATTTGTTCAAAACCCCGACCAGCTTGGCAGTCCATTTCCTGAGATGTGTGTGAGTTTTTGTTCTACTCTGAGGAAATGAAACGGGAAGTCCCAAGCCTTGGGGATCGTAATAAAGGGAGGGAATGGATCCTGGGCTGCCAACTGCAAGCCCGGCGGAAAGACGGTCTCGGAGCTGCCTCCTAAGCCTTCCGCTGGGCCTGGCCGCCGGGCTGCGCAGCGCCACTTCTCGTCTCCCACGCCGCCCCGAGCCACCCAGCCACCCGCGCCCGGCCGACCCCGAGACCCCTCGACCCGGCGACGTCTCCCCAGCACGCAACCCCCAGGCTGCGGAGGAGGCCGGGGCGCAGAAGAGGCGGGATCGACTCGCTCGGCGGTCTCCGCCCCGGTCCCGCCCCCCGCCCACGCCACCGCCGAGCGCCGATCGGCTCGATGAGCGGGGGTGCTGCGGCCGAGGCGGTCGGCGCCGCGGCCTCCCCTCCCGCCTGGCTCTTCGCCCCGCTCGGCTTCCCTCTCCCCGCCCGGCGCCGCGGAGCTCCCCGGCTCGCAGGTACCGGCGCCGGCCTGCCCGGTGGGGGCGGGCGAGCGGAGGCGGGGAGGAGGCGACGCCCCCGCGCCGGCGCCCACGTCCCCGGCCTCGGGTAGGGCGCTGGGCCAGACGGGGCCGGGGGCGGTTGAGAGGCCGGGGGCGGTTGAGAGGCCCCGGGGCCGCGGGGTGCAGAGCGGCGGAGGGGCGGCCTGGAACGCGGGGTGGGAACCGGCGCCGCCTGGTGCGCGCAGGAGGACGGCCTCCGCCCAGGGCCGGCGCCTGCGGACGCGGAGCGCGGCGGGCGGGTGGTCGGGCGGTGGTGGAGCAAGATGAGTAAATAGATGCAAGTTGGTGTGCGCAGAGCCACGGCGGAGGCCCGGGGCCGCTCCCGAGCACGCCTGCGTGACGTTCCGGGCGTCGGCGGGGCCGGGCGGTGGGCTTCCAGGAGGTCTCGCCCAGGACGTCCACGCCGCCTCCCCGAGCGCCACTCGTTGCCTGGGTGGGTTGGTACCCATGGCGTCGGTGGATCCGCCGGGGGCGACCTGCCTGCTGCTTTGCCGGTGGCCCTCTCTTTGTGGAGCTGGGCTCACTCTGTTCCCAGCTGGTCCCCTGGCTCCGATGGCGGGGTCTGCTGTTTAAGGTTTTAACTTTGCTGTGCGTCGCATGCAGACTTCATAAGAGTCTGTCTGGTTTGTGGGGGGCTGTTGAGCACCCTAGCACCCTTTTGTAGGATTTAAAATACGATTGAAGAAAAGTTCTGCGATGGTTTGCTGTGGTCTGTTTTCCCATGCATTCTGTAACATTTCTGCATGAGTGAATTATCCTGAAATCAAAGTATGAGGCATAAAATGGGCCAGGTGTACATGATGGAAATATTGTGGAATGAGAAACTCTGGAGCTGTGACTTAGGTACAAGAGTTTAGTGAGGTTACAGAAGGTTAACTTTCTGGCTTGAGAACATTTCGTTGAATATGAAGCTAGACACTTTTTTTTTTTTTAAGTGAATGACATTAAACAACAAACTAATGTCTTAATGTACTTAATCTGAAGATCTCAGATGCTTCTTCCTGAAGAGGATGTAGGGCTACTGGGTTGTTACAGGGAAGTATGTCTTTCTCAGGTAGAACTGTGTGATCTGATGGCAACCAATTGAATAAATACTAAAACTGATAACGCACAACCATTGATTTAGGCCTGTATCTCTGGTATTTCAATAAGTGAAGTGACCAACACTTTTTTTTTTTTTTTTACTAAGTCTTTTCTCTTAGTTTCTTGGTTCTTACCTCAATGGTATGCATAAAGAATAAAAGAAAACGTGCATGTGTAACTCTGAGCACTAAAACTGCTCTGCATCACTGAGAAAATTGCACTTCTATGTGCCCAACACAGAAAGCATTCTATACATTTGAGCTATTCTAAGTTCTTAGGTGTTCAGCCATCATCTGATCCAAAAATACTGAAAATTCATATTTGCATATGACACTTTCTCAAAAAATTTTATTGTTACATACACATTTTCTTGGAAAAAAATCACAGTACTTATTAGCATGTAAAAAGCTGTGAGGTGGTTCTATAACAAAGAAAACTGGCTTTGTTTAACTCAGTTCTTTTGATGTGAGAGACAAACTCGTTTTCTCCTATTTTCATAATACATACACCTCTGTGACCCCAGAATGTGTGGAGATTTTTCTCTACCAGAAAGCAAGTAATTTTTGCAGCAGATTCTCTAGGACATACCATCTGGGTGTCCTCTAATTCATTTCATTTCTAACACTATCTGGAGATAGCAGTCCATCCCACAAGTTGAGGGTTCACTCCTATGAGACTGCCCCCCCCCTTGAGGTGTCAATCACAAGCTCCAGGATGTTATACCTGTGTTTCTGATTGATCTGCTATGAATTGGGGCAGCCACAATCCCTTTTGGAGGTTCAGTTAATTTGCCAGAGTGGCTCACAGAACTCAGGGAAACACTTTACTTATGTTTACCGGTTCATTATAAAGTTTATTAGGAAGTATACAGATGAATAGTCAGATGGAAGAGAGGTACAGAGCAAGGTATGCAGAAGGAACCAGGAGCTTCCATGGCCCTTCAGGCACGCCACCCTCCAAGAACCTTCATGTGTCCAGCCATCTGGAAACTCTGGAATCCTGTCCTGTTAGGTTTTTACATAAGCTTTATTACGCAAAATAGACTGTTGGTGATTGACTCAACTTTCACAACCTTTAGTCCTTCTGCCCTCCCCAAAGTGGGAGCTGCAATATCCCAACCTTTTAATCATGCCTTGCTCTTTCTTGTAGCTAGCTGCCTTTCTGAAGCTAGTCATCTCATTAGCATACAAAAACAAACAAAAACCACACTTAGCACTCTCTGAGATTCTGAGGGTATTAGGAACTGTATGTTAGGAAATAGGATGAAGACCCAAGGCAAATGTATCTTAAGTTATGTGTGTGTGTGTAAAATCAAAGTTATCAAACCAGGACTTAAGAAACTTAACCCTTTTCATGGAATACCAGTGGGATGCTATATAGGTTGCAAATTTTTTTGCATGTATGATCTGATTGGACCACCTCAATTCCATGCAAAATCATAGAAATTCCTAGTTTACAGATGAGGAAATAGAATCATTACTTAAGCTTCTGACTTCAAGTTAAAATCATAAAGCATTTTAGGATTTTCAAGGAACTTCTATTTTTTCTGCTCCTGTACTTAATTCACTTATTTCTTCCACATGTTTTCTTTGGGAAACTACTTGATTTTATCATGTGTTTAACTGTTCCTTACGTGTTCAGGTGTAGAGTCACTGGAGTAGAGCAGGTGACAGGGGAGTAGCTGAAGTCACCAAGATGGGGGGGGGTGTCGTCTCTCATACAGGCCTTCTGTCTGCTTTAAGTACTTTAGTTTACATCCAAAAGTCTAATGATTGTTTTTTTTCTCCTTAAGGTGGTGAATATTTTATTCAGCTGGGAAATAGAAGAGTACTCTGAGTAAAAATATGCCTCCCAAGTTCAAGCGACACCTCAATGATGATGATGTCACTGGTTCTGTGAAAAGTGAAAGGGTAAGTTTAGAATCTTAAGTTTTAGAACAAGAAAGAGTCAACATGTTTTCACTCCCTTTGTAAATAATAGAAAAGAATCTAAAGTTTATGGCTACTGTAGGAGCAGCAAAGGTAGTGATCCCTTTCTTGCTCATACTGAAGGATCATAGCTGACACCCCATAACAAAAAACAGGTTAACAAGAGGAACATTGAACAGATTTATATGTTCATAGTTTGGATGTGTCAACAGGACCCAAAGACCCAGAGTGAATTATACATTTTTATGCTCATTTTTGATGAAGTAAGGGCAGCCATGTAGAAATAGGGTTGAACTAAAGGATGTTTCTAACAGTAATAGACTCAGGGGAGGGAGGGAGGGAGGCCAGCAAGGCCTGTCTGCTCGAACTTTCCTTGGCCTCTCCGCAGCAGTCCTTCCTTCTGAGTATGGGGCAGTCAAAGAAGGTAGGTTAGTGAATGTTTTATGGCCAACTTTTACATAGAAAGGAGAAGATTAGGTTAATATTTTTAGGTTTTATGACAGTATTTGGGGAAAGGGGGTTCTGGGTTTTGTGACCTACTTTGGGGAAAGGAACTGTGGTCCCTGTAGCTTGCCTTAGGGGAAAACTTGATAGCAGGGGACAGTCAGAGAGAAACCTTGCTATGAGGCTACTTGTGAAGCTTTTACTTCAGGATGTCAATTTCTGAACCCTTTCACCACCATATTCTAATCTTACTTTTTTCAACTTCATAGTAAATGTATTAAAAAATATATGTTGCTTAGAATGATGATAATATTTCAAGGAAAAAAATTTTTTTTGGTACCTGGGATTGAATTCAGGAGCATGCGACCACTGAGCCATATCCCCAGCTATTTTGTATTTTATTTAGAGAGGGGGTCTCACTGAGTTGCTTAGCACCTGGCTTTTGCTGAGGCTGGCTTTGAACTCATGATCCTCCTGCCTCAGCCCCCGATACGCTGGGATTACAGGCGTGCGCCACCATGCCAAGCTCAGGGAAAATTTTATACAACTATATAATGTCTTATTCAGAACTCTGGAGCCAAATATATTTGAAATTTAGAGTTTTTCAGATTTAAGAAAGGAAGTTAAGTATGTAGCCTTTAGGGGTCTGAACTAACACCTCCAAACATATTAATATTTCTTAGTGAAATATATGGGTTATCTATATAAATAAAATAGCTAAAGTCAATTCAAGTCAGGTTTTCCTCCAAATGAGTTTTTTTTTTTTTTTTGGCAGGGATTGAGTACTGGGGATTGAACTCAGGGATACTCAACCACTGAGTCACATCCCCAGCCCTATTTTGTATTTTATTTAGAGATAGGGTCTTTCTGAGTTGCTTAGCACCTTGTGGTTGCAGAGGCTGGCTTTGAACTCACGATCCTCCTGTCTTAGTCTCCCAAGCCACTAGGATTACAGGCATGCACCACTGCACCCAGCCCAAATGAGTTTTGACACCAAACATATCAAAGCTTTTTGGCTTATTGAACTTTTTAGATTTTGAAATTATATATGATAGATCCTGGACCTGTGACTATCTCAGAGTCTAGAATGCCTTGTTCATGATGCTTCAATTTCTAGTTCATTTTAGAAATACGCTATATTTAGGGATTGGGGGTATAGCTCAGTTTTAGAATGCTTTCCTAGCATGCATGAGGCCCTGTGTTTAATCCACTTCACTGCAAATAAGAGAGAAGGTGGTGGGATAGATAAATAAACAAATAAATAAATCAGGGTATTGTGCAGCATCTTGAAAGACAGCTTATCATGTGACTATTAATATTCTATCTATAGAATATTTTTTGAGGGAAGGAAATATATTCTTTTCCTTTTTTAATCTGGTAAACGGAAGCCTCCCTTACTTCCTTTCTTCTTGTCATCCTTCTATTTACTGATCCATTCCACAAGTACTTATTAACCACCTACTGTGTGGTAGGCGTGGTGTTAAAACCTAGGGGGCTCAGTTGCTGCCCTTAAGAGTTCTTGGTCTGTTTAACTTTATTTATTTATTTTTAATTTTAATTTTTTTAATATTCTCTCTCTTTTTTTTTTTTTTTTTTTAGCTTTAGATGGACACAATGTCTTTATTTTTTATGTGATGCTGACAATTGAACCCAGTGCCTCACGCATGCCAGGCGAGCGTGCTACCACTTGAGCCACATCCCCAGCCCCTGTTTGACTTTATTTTATATACTCCTTTTTTGTGTAACTTTGGAACTTGATATTAATCACTCAACATTTTATGATTTAGAAGTATCTTTTAATATAATACAAAAAGCATTTGTCCTTAGTTTGTTTTTGTTTATGTGTTTGATAGGGAGAAGAACACACCAAAAGACTAATTGCTATTTAGCTTTTTAAAGATATAAAATGTACAGTCTCAATCAGTACTACTACTGAGATTGTAACTGTGACTTTCTCTTTACATGTGGGTTATTAGCACAATTGACTGTAAAAATTGGATATTGGACTTGTGAACTGAACAAAAATCCACTCTTTAAATAGAGCCTGCCTTTGGATATTTATGAGATTTTGAAATTTCATAACTGATTGGTTCTAATAATTGCTTTTTAAATTTTTTAAGTTTTGTTACTCTTTCCAATTATAATTTTTGCAGCTTTATTGAGATATAATTTATATAACATACAACTCACCCATTTAAAAGGTACAATTTAATGGGTTTTGGTATATTCACAAAGTTGTGCAGCCATCACACGGTCTAGTTTAGGGTTTTTTATCCTCCCTAAAAGAAACTCTGTGCCCTTCAGCAGTCATCCCCATTCTCTTCATTCCCTCAGCCCTAGGCAACCAAAAACCTATAGATTTACTTATTCTGAACCTTCTTTTTTGTACTGGGGATTGAACCCAGGGGTGCTTAACCACTGAGCTATATCCTCACCCCTTTTTGTTTTTTATTTTGAGACAAAATCTCTGTACGTTGCTGAGGCTGGCCCTCAACTTGCATCCTCCTGCCTCAGCCTCCCAAGCAGCTGGGATTACAAGTTGTACCATTGCACCTGGCTATTCTGAACCTTTTACATAAATGGAATCATACAATATGTAGCTTTTTGTGACTGGCTTCTTTGACTTCCATAATGTTTTCAAGATTTGTCAATGTGGTAGTATGTATCAGTACTTTATCCTTTTTATTAACTGAATAATGTTTCATTGTATGGATGTACCATATTTAGTTATCCATCAATTGATGATGTTTGGAATTTTTCCTGACATTTTGGCTATTGTGAATATTGCTTTATGAACATTAGCATACAAGTTTTTGTTGAACACATTTTCATTTCTTATACTTACATACCTAGACATCGAATTACTGATTGTTAGAGTAACTCTAATGTTCAACCTTTGTAGAATTGCTAAACTGTTTTCCACATGGTTGCATGGTGTTTATATTCCCACCAGCACTGTGACGGTTCCAGTTCCTCCACACCCTCAAACAGTGCTTGCTGGGTGAAGTGGTATCGCATTGTATTCCCAACATTCATGTTTGTTCAATGGATATGTAAAAGGCATTGGTTTTCATGTGTGTTTTAGTTTTACATACATTATATCTTCTAAACTAAAATAAACATACATTATATCTTCTAAACCAAATAAACTGGATCATAAACCATTATATTTTTTCTATTTTTGGTGCGGGGGATTGAACTCTGGCACTTGACCTCTGAGCCACAACCCCAGCCCTATTTTGTATTTTATTTAGAGACAGGGTCTCACTGAGTTGTTTAACACCTCACTTTTGCTGAGGCTGGCTTTGAACTGGAGATCCTTCTGCCTCAGCCTCCTGAGCCATGGGATTATAGGCATGTACCTATAATCATTGTACTTTAATCAGCTTTTGTTTTATATATTTTAAAGCCATATTGTCATGTATATAAACTCATTGCTGTAAAGTCTTCTTGGTGGATTGTGTATTTTATAATTATAAAATTATTATTTGACTGTTTAATAAGTCCTAAAAATTTCTATTTAGATTGATAGTCTTTTGATAGAATTTGCTAAGGTTTCTTTTCTACCACTTTTTTATTTTTCATTTTTTTGACCTCTGTTGTAGATAATTTTCTTGAAAACAGATATAGGCTGGAATTTTTTGAACTCTAATCATATATAGTTTTTGTTTTTGGTCAGGGCCACTCAGACCACTCATTATTTGATGACCAATACATTTGGACTTTTCCTGTGCCAGGTAGTCCTTCAGCCTGCAGTGGATGTTCTTTACCCTGATATTTGGCTGTCTCTGTTATCAAGGAGCTTTGGGTCTCAGCTTAAACTTCATTCACCTCTTGAGAATGATTTTCATGACCACCTAATCTCATGTTGTCACACCATCACTTTCTGTCCCATCACTGTTTTAGTTTCCTGCACAGCATTTATCACAGTCAYATTTTCTATGAACGTTCAGTCAAACCTTGTCTGTCTCATTCAAAGTTGGTTTGGATTTTAGAACAGTGCCAACCATGTGGGAAATGCTCAAAAATACATGCTAAATGAAGGTCAAATACGTCCTTCTTTCACTGTTTTACTGTTCATGTTATGGAGTATTCAGTTTACATATATGTGACAATATTCTTTGTATTCTAATCCTTATATAATCAATCCTAGATTGATTCCTTTTCCTTATCTCTCTCCTTATCCTTGGAACCACTAGGCAGTTGAGAAATTTTACTGCCTTTCTCCATCCATTTCTCTTTCTGTTATTAACTTTATATTTTAACAGTAATGTTTAAATCTGTTCTTCATCAGCTTACTAGAAACGGTGACCTTCCGTTGTGTTGTCTTTCACTCTAGCCCTGTCCCCTCCCCCTCTTTCCTGCCACTTCTCCCTGGGACAGGTGTGTTGGTCACACTCCATGTCCCAGCCTCAGAGCTTTGTTAGAAAAAAGTTTTAGGCTCTTTTTAAGCTTTTCCTTGATTGTGCCTTTTCCTTTTCAGTAATCCTAACTTACAGTTCACTGTCACATTACCATCAAACATTTAAACATGACCACACATCAGATTCTTTGATGATCTCTGTCTTAAGAGGTTTGTTCTTATTTTTCTTTTTGGCTGGTGTAATTTTTTGAGCAATTTCTTCAGAAAAGGTACCTGAGTGGTATATTGGTTTCCTATTGCTACTGTAAAAACTACAAATATAAAGCATGAAATTATGATCTTGATTTCTGGTGACCTGAAGTCCAAGATGAGTCTTACGGGGCTGAAATCGGGGTGCCAGTGGGGCTGTTTTCCATTCAGAGGCTGCAGGGCAGAAACGGGTTTTGCCTTTCCCAGTTCCTGTCTTGGCTCATCATGTCCTTCTTCCATCTTCAAGTTTCAATCTCTCTATCTCCTGCTTGCATTTTATAAGAACCCTGTGATTAGCTCTGGCCCACATGAATAATCTGTCATGAATTTGCCCCTTTGAAGACCTTTAATCACCTCTGCCAAGTCCCTTCCTACACCCTTGCTCACGCAGTCACAGGCTTTGGTGGCTGGGACATAGGCCTCCTTGGGAAGCCATTATTTTACCTGCAAGCAATCATATTCTGTTTGAGTTCTTATCTGAAGGTCTGGGTTTTGCTCTTCTATAGCCTCCTTTTGGGACTTCATGTCTTCCCATTTGGGGGGTGGGGAGAGACCATCTTCATTTTAATGAAGAATGTCCTATCTGGAGGGTAAGAATACAAGCTTGTTTTTGTGTGGGAGTTCAGATTTGTGTAGAGTACTGTTTATGGACTTAGCAGCTAGAGGGTGGACCAAGCCAGTTACTAGGCCTTTGCTCCCAGCTCTGGTTACCCTCCTGTTGTCCTCCATTGCTGCAGTTGGACTCCACAAACTACATTCCTTCTCTGCCGTCTGGTTCTCTGTTAATTTCTGCCAATAGAGAGACACTGGGAGGAATGAGAAGGGGCTTCCTTCTAACTGCCTGCAGCATCAGTTATAGGATTCTGGAATTATAAGCATTTTCTTTGGAAGGTCTATAAACAGTTCTATATCATTTAGCTTCTATTAAAGCAAATGTGATTGATCATTCTTCCCTCTGTTTGTAAGCTTGGAGAAATTCACTATATAGAAATTCACTAGTATAGAACTTGTTTCATTACTTCTCCTTGACATTTTATAAACCCTCTGAATCTGAAAAGTCTTTTTCTTTCTTTCTTTCTTTCTTTCTTTTTTTTTTTCTTTTTTGACAGAGAAATCTTTTGGAAGATGATTCAGATGAAGAAGAGGACTTTTTTCTGTAAGTTTTTTGAACAACTTTTTCAAAGTATAATTGACAATCAAATGCATATATTTAAAGTGTACAATGAGTTTTGACATACAAACTATGAAATCATCACTAAAATTAAATAATAAATATAGCCATCACCCTAAAAGTTTCCACATACCCCTTGATAATCTGTTGCTTTCCTAGTCCCTAGGCAACCACTGATATGCTATCACTGTAGTATGTATTTTCTAAAATTTTATATAGACTAAATCATAGAGTATGCCCCCTTTTCTACGGGCTGCACTTGCTCAGCATGATTATTTTGAGATTCAACCATGTATCAATAATTGGGTTTCTTTTTTTCTGAGTGGTATTCCATTGCAGAATATACTGCAATTATCTGTCTATTCACTTGTATATGGATATCTAGGTTGTTTCTAGTTTGGGGTCATTACAGATTAAGCTGCTGTAAACATTTGCGTAAAGGTTTTTGTGTGGACATACACTTTTATTTATCTTGGATAAATATGTAAGAGTAAAATACTTAATGTGCATTTACAACTGTTTTTCAAAGTGTTTGAACTATTTTATATTCTTTTTATTTAATTAATTTTTTTTAGTTGTAGGTGGACACAATACCTTTTTATTTTTATGTGGGTCTGAGGATCGAACCCAGTGCCTCACACATGCTAGGCAAGTGCTCTTCCTCTGAGCCACAACCCCAGCCCTATTTTGTATTCTTATCAGTACTATATGAGAGTTTTAGTTGCTTCAGATTGTAACCAACTATATATGGTCAATCTTTATTATTTTAGATATTCTAGTGGGTGTGTAGAGGTATCTAAGTGTGTTTTTAATTTGCATTTCCCTAATGAAAACTGATGTTGAACATCTCTTGATGTGCTTATTTTCCATCATTATGCCTTCTTGTGTGTGTGTCGTGTGTGTGTGTCGTGTGTGTTTTGCTCTGATTCAATCAAACCCAGGGTTTCATACATGCTTATTTTCTTATTATGTTGTAAGAAAGATACAAGTTCTTTGTCATATATATGTGCTTTGCAAAATATACTCCAAATCCGTAACTTAACCTTTTCATTTTTGGAACAGTAGCATTTGAAGATTAATTGGGTTTTGATGAAATCAATTTATTGAATTTTCTATATTGTTTTTCTTTCTTTATATCTTATTAAAAAATCTTTCTCAAACATAATGCACTATGATTTTCACCTATGTCTTTCTAGGAGTTTTATAGTCTTGGCTTTTAAATTTAGGCCTGTAATCCATTTTAAGTTAATTTTTATACATGGCTGAGGTAAGGATGAAGGGTTTGGGGGTGGGGGTGTAAGCCATCTAATTATTTCATTTGATGAAAAGGTTTATTCTTTCCCTATTGAATTATCATGGTACCGTACTGAAAACTATTTGACCTGGCTAATCTTTTTTTTCAGTTGTAAATGGACACAATATCTCTATTTATTTATTTTTATGTGTTGCTGAGGATTGAACCTGGTGCCTCACATGTGTGAGACAGGTGCTCTACCACTGAGCTATAGCCTCAGCCCCCTGACCAATCCTTTTAGTTTTAATTTGAAATCACTCTCATGCAGCCTAGGTTTGTGTCTGTGAAGCAGTGTTTTAAGTCTTCGCTGGGAATTGTTGCCTGAGGGGAAGCGCTTACCTTCTACTTCATTAACATGTTGTGACATGTTTTTTTGTGGAGGCTGATTTTTGATGAAAACATTTTATAAAATCAATTGAAACCCATGAAGCAGTGGGCAAGAGCTTATAGGATAAAAAGCAAATACAGGAAATTGTTTTATTTTTGGCAGGAATGTCATAAATATGGGGATGTAATTTGCTAGCGGTGACAAGCTTTCCATAAGCTACTTGCCTACAGTACCTTTTATGGTGAGAAGTCTTAGATGAAAGCAGTAGTTACTAGGAACTCAGTGTTGAAAAGAAGGGCAGATGCTTTGGGTAAATAAGTGATTTTCTGAATGTAAGGTAGATGCCCTTGTGAGAAATAACAACTCTTTGGGCCAAAAATGTACTGATGTCCACTCCCATATAATGCTGTATGCCTTCCAAAGGGCCTGACACCCTAAGTGGCACACCCCCTCAATATCCAGCTTCCATATCCGACTTCCCCTACATGTTGAAAGGAAGACAAATAAAATTCTCAAAATAATATTTAAATATTATTTAACCCCCATGTTTATAACAGCAGTATTAACAATAGACAAAAGGTGGAAACAGCCCAAGTGTCCCGCACCAGATGAATGTGTAAACAAAATGTGGAATATACATAAATGAATATTGTGTTGAAAAGGAAGGGAATTTGATGTCTGCTGCAACATGAATGGACTTTAAAGAAATCATGCTAAGTGGGGGCTGGGGTTGTGGCTTAGAGGTAGAGCACTCGCCTCTCCTGGGTTTGATCCTCAGCACCACATAAAAGTAAATAAACAAAATAAAGACATTGTGCCCAAGTATAACTAAAAAAAATATTTAAAAAAAAAGAAATCATGCTAAGTGAAAGAAGCCTGTCACAAAAGGAAAAATATTTGCATGATGCCACTTAGATGAGGTCCCTAGAGTATAGTCAGGCTCAGAGAGACACAAAGTGGAATGGGGGTCGCCAGAGCTGTGAGGAGGGGAGAATGGAGAGTTGTGTCTAATTGGAAAGATAAAAAAATTTCTGGAGGTGAGTGATGGTGATGGTTGCAGAATAATTGAATACACTTAATGCCACAGACCTTTACATTTAAAAATGATTAAAATGGCACATTTTGTTATGTACTTACTGTAATTTTAAAAACTGTCAAAAATATTGACTTTTTATACTTGTGGCACTATTTCTAGACTCTCTTTACTTCATTGATCTGTATGTCCATCTTACATCAATACCACACTTCCTTGACCACTGTCACTTTTTAATAAGTTGCAAAGTAGTATAGTGTATGTCCTTCAACTTTACACTTCCTTTTCAATGTTCTTTTGGCTAATTGGGCTTTAAAATTTTTAATGTAAATTTTAGAATCATTTATTTGCTTCTACAAAAGTTCCTGCTGGAATCTGGGTTGCAGTTGCATTGAATCAGTATACCCATTTGGGGAGAGTTAATGTCTTACCAATATTGGGTTTTCTAACTCATGAATATAGCTTATCTTTGTAATTATTAAGGTCCTTAATTTCTCTCAGTTATTTATTTTTTAATTGAAGTTGAACACAGTATCTTTATTTTATTTATTTTTATGTGGTGCTGAGGATCGAACCCAGGGCCTCGCACTTGCAAGGCGAGCACTCTACCAYTGAGCCACAACCCCAGCCCCTCAGCAATGTCTTAATTTTCAGATTCGGATCTTTATTTATTTATTTATTTTTTGACAGATTCGTCCATAAGTATTTCATGCTTTTGTTTCTTTCCACATTTTTATTGGTGAGTTGTAGTTACTCATAAGGATAGGATTGTTGTTACGTGTTCATACGTGCAGTGCACACAGTAATAATATGGTTTGGCCAGTATCCCTCCCCAGCACTTCTCCTCCCACCCTTCCTCCCATCCCCTTGTCTCTTTCCTCTCTTGATCTACTTTTGATTTTCATGAGATCCTTACCCCCATCTTCTTTTTCTTTTTTCCAACTTCCATATGAGAGAGAACAAAATATTTCATTTAGATTTTTTCAATTTCTTATTATTCATTGCTAGTATGTAGACGTAGAGTAAATTAATGCTAAACCTTGCTAAGCTCTTATTTATTTCAATAGTATTTTTATGAATTCCATTGGGTTTTCCACATAAATACTTATATTGTCTACAAATAAAGACAGTTTTACTTCTGCATTTGTATGCCTTTTGTTTCTTTGTCTTTCCTGTTTTGCTCTGGCAAGAACCCCAGTACCATATTGAATTAGAAGTGGTGAGAGAGAATGCTCTTCCAGAGCTCCCTTAGGGCGAAACATTCCTTTTTTTTTTTTTTTTTTTAACCATTAAGTTTGATTTCGTTGCATTTTTTTTTTTAAAGATGCCTTTTATCAGGTTGAGGAAGCTCCCTTTTGTTCCTAATTTGCTAAGGAATAGATGATGTCATTTATCAACAATTTTGAAATTTCAAGCCAACATTGTATTTCTGGAATAAATCATGTGTAGTCATTAAGCCATTGTTGGCATCAGTTAAGATTTTGTGAAGAATTTTTTGCATCTATGTTCGTTAGAGATATTGTGCTGGCTACTGGTTTAAGATAAGGTGGGCTCTATATAATGATTTGGGAGATGTTCTGTATTTACTTTCTGTAATATTGCTATGTGTCTACATTGAACATTTGGTAGAATTCATAATTGAACTCATCTAGTCCCCAAATTTTTTTGTAGGAGTTTTTACATGATTTTATAATAATTCTAGATTTACAGAAGGGTTACATGGTTAGACAGAGAGTTGCCATGTGTCCTTCACTCAGCTCTTTGTAGTAAATCCTACATGACTATAGTGCATTTGTCTGTAGTAACGTCCCCACTTTGCTTCTGTTAGTAATTGTGTCTTCTCTTATTCTGTACTTGCTGCCCTCTCTGTTTTTCCTGTATGATCTGACCAGACGTTTATCAAAGAACCAGCCTTGGGTTCGGGTTTTATTTTGTTTTTTCCTCAGTAACATTCTAAAGTCTCATGTTATGTAATAAGTGAAAACAAATGTAGCCACTGCTGCTTTTTTTTAACCTGTAGTTGAAATAATTTTAATTTAATAATTTTCAGATGGCTGTCTCACTTTGTGGTTTCCTCATTGAATGACTACGTTTTTATGCTTTTCAGTTGACCCATTTGTAGTTCCTCTGGTTTAGAATATTAGTTTTCTCTATGGAATTCAACATTTAACTTGTACTTTGGGATGAGATACTGGTCCAGTTTTTGTGTGTGTGTAGGGGGTGGTACTAGGGATTGAATTCAGGGGCACTCAGCCACTGAGCCACATCCCCAGCCCTACTTTGTGTTTTATTTAGAGACAGGATCTCACTGAGTTGCTTAGTGCCTCGCTTTTGCTGAGGCTGGCTTTGAACTCACAATCCTCCTGTCTCGGCATCCTGAGCCCCTGGGATTACAGGCATGCACCAGCCACCATTCCTGGCTGCTGGTCCAGTATTCTAAGGCTTAATTGCAGTTTTAAATACTTGGAGGAAGAACTTAGAGGAATTAAGGCAAGTTGATATTTTCATATTTATTCATTATGTAAATAAGTTTTAATAGGCAGTTTAACCTTTTCTCCAAAATGTTTTTCTTGTCACAAACTGGATTTTTTTTTTCACCTCCTTTAGAAGTTACCCTATGTCTAGAAATTTAAGAACCTTGTTTCTTTTGAGTTACCTTATTCACTACCTTCAGTAAAATGATAATTAAAATACTTAAAATATCTAAAAATTTCCATTTTGAGAATGCTAAAATAAAATAAGGTTATATACCCTTGACTTTTATAAAGAGATAATAATTTAGGAAATGTTAATATTTTTAAGATTCTTGTTTTTCCCCCTTTTGCTGTTGGTAGATTTAAGATGAGTAATCAAAATACATACCTAAAATTTTTTAGTGTTTTGAGTGAATAGTTTTCTCTATTCATCTCTCAATCAACATTCCTAATTAGCAATGTCCTAAATTCAAGGTGATTTGCACTTTTAGTTGCTCAAGAATTGATTATAAAGGTATTCATAGTCACTGGGCAGTTTATTTTTATTATTTCAGAGTTTAACAATTAGGAGAAAAACTGCATTACTAAGGGTTGTGTAAGTCCTCATTTCTCATAAAGTTTTAACACTTAGAATAATTAAGGTAATTGTGGCCAATGGTAACTACCAGTGAAGTAAAGACCAGATTATGTATCATGGAGTTCACCAATACTCGTAAAATGTCATTCCTTCTGGTAAATGACTGATCCATGTGTATCCCACGTGATTGCATATATGGATGTGTGGTTTTGGTTTTGTTTTTGTTTGATATGACCACTACTAATATATACTGGCTATTTTATTTTCAGAAGGGGGCCATCTGGACCAAGATTTGGACCTAAAAATGATAAAATTAAGCAGTAAGTTCCTGAATGCTTATTTAAATCCATATTTTCATGTGAACTGGGGTGTTTTTRTAAACAGAATTTTATTGGAATGCAGCCATGCCCATTTGTTTTCATATTATCTGTAGTTGCTTTCTAGCTATAATGGCAAAGTTGAGTAGTTATGACAGAGAATTGAAACAAAGAAATACCTTATGACCCATGAAATCTAAAATATCTTGACCCCTAAAATAGACAATATAACTACTGGGTTATAGAAACCTAATTATATTTTCACAAAGTCACTTTGGAATTATAACTCAGCAAGTGCAGAATTGATGGCTTCTCTTAATTGCTTTATATCAAATCCACTTATTTAGCATAATCTGAAGGTCTCTTTTGGTTTTGGTTTTAATTTATCATTTGATTGCCATTATCAGAATCATAATAGATTTTTTTTAATGTACCGCAGCTTTTATTCACTTCCAGAATTTTTTCATCTCTAGTATTTAGGCTAATCCCTATATTGATCTTAGTTTCATGGCTAATTTTTGGGTTAAAACCTTTGCTGTACATGTGTTACTTGGTGGTAGAAGTATGACATGAATAACATGCTGTAGTGAAAGATGGGGCCTTGTTGAAAGGGAGAGGAAAGTCAGAGCAGTGAGTCACGTGAGGCCAGGTCCTGGAAACCAACCAACCTGCAAAGACTAACTGTGGAAGATAAACTGAATAACTCATGTTCAGGACCTAAGCAAGGGTAATAGCCACTGCCCTAATTCTGGGTATAGTTGAAAAGGTACTGACTGGAGTCTGTAGGAATTAGTGAGGCAGTTGGATTTAGTCAAGTACCGTTGGTGTAATAAATATATCCATACTTAGCCGAATCCTGACCTTACTTCATTCTAAGATACAGAACCAAAGTACAGGCCGAGTATCCCTTATCTGAACTGCTTGGGTTCTGAAAGTTTCAGATTTCAGATTATTTCTAAATTTTGGAACATTTGCATGTACATAATGAAATATATTGGGGATGGGACCCAAGTCTAAACATGAAATTTATTTGTAATTCTTACATCCATAGCTGGAAGATAATTTTATACAGTACTTTTAGTGTGCCTGTATTTTGACTACAACCCATCACAGGATGTAAGGGAGGAATTTTCCATGTGTGACATTATGTCAGCACTCTAATAAAAGTTTTAGATGTTGGAGCACTTTGGATTTGAAATTTTTCAGATTAGGGATATTCAGCCTGTACCAACATGTTGATTAGAGTAATGGACTTGCTGAATTAACTTTCTACTGCTGTGTAACAAATTATCAAGAGCTTAGCAGTTTTGTTTTTTTTTTTAAAGAGAGAGTGAGAGAGAGAGAGAGAGAGAGAGAATTTTTAATATTTATTTTTTAGTTCTCAGCGGACACAACAGCTTTGATGGTATGTGGTGCTGAGGATCGAACCCGGGCCGCACGCATGCCAGGCGAGCGCGCTACCGCTTGAGCCACATCCCCAGCCCCGAGCTTAGCAGTTTAAAACAACTCATATTTATCATCTCAGCTTCTATGAGACCGGAAGTTCAAGCACTGCTTAGGGGTGCCCTCTGCTATAGATTTCACAGCCTGCGGTCAAGCTATTAGTAGGTGTGTAGCTCACTTGCAGCTTATGATCAAGCTCAGGTGGTTGACAAAATTCACTTCCTTGCAGCTGAAAAACTCATGGTACTCACTGCTTCTAGACCAGCAGCAGAGAGAATGTTTACTGCTTCCAGTTTCTGATTTGCCAGTAAAGATAAAAGCTGCTTTTGGGTTCAGGCCATTCATTACATTACAAAAGGAAGAGTAACCAGAAATACCAGCTTCTAGGATCATTGTCCCACACCCCAAAAATGATACCAAATGAGAGGGCCCAGTGGCTGCAATACCATTGTATAGCCTATTACAAAGGAGCTATTTCTCACTGCAGCTAAGTGGTTTTTATAGTCTGCAGATATAAGCTGCGGGAAGTTTATACCTCATCAGTACCTGGGAATGATGAGAAACTATCTGTGTCAGTCCCCTAAGGAAGACATGGAGGTTGATGGGAGATGGCCTCATGAGCCACTCATTTGGTCAGTGTTCCACAGGATTCACAAGATATTCTGCCAGGACTCAGATGAAAGGTGATTCAAGCATACATGGATTCTGCAAGGGTGTCATTGAGTAATGGCTGAGAGTAATTCCCTACTTGGAGCCAGGGTAACTTCTTTATTTACCCACATGGTTGTTCCTGGTGTGATATACTTCTACAGAGTGAGCCTGGTGCAGGACGTGGCCTCTTGGGTCTGTGGAAAATGATTTTACAGCTGAACCCTAAAAACCATTGCCATTACAGAATATGTATGTGTGTTAGTAACTGCCAGACACACACACACACACACACACACACACACACACACACACACACATGTATATACTTAAACTACCACAATAACTGGGATCACAGGATTGTAAAATAATAAAGAGTTGTGGAGTAAGTGTACTAGTTCTTACGGTGGAGCTGAAGACGTGAGTAGATTTATTTAGAAGTCAGCTTTGAAATGCAGACTAAACCTTGATGGCCCAACTTCATGAAGGGGACATGACTCACCAGTGTGTCCAACCAAGGTGGCAGATACAGCTTGATACACCACTTACCCAAGAAAAAACTCCCTGGTATTAGTTTAGCATCCAGAATTAGTCAGTTTCTTTAAAGATAAGTTATCACCACTTAATTTGTAACATTTAGGGCATTTCTTGACTATATAGATTAGCAGTATTATTGGTTTATTTTAATTTGACCACTAATTATTAATGTTGATAATAGATTAATACCACAAAAATTATACCATCCAGTTTTAGGGAATATTTTTTGGGGGGAAAGATTTTTTAAACATTCACATGTCTATATAAAATTCTCTTTGGAATGTTTCCTTTGCTTTTAAATTCAATAACAACACTTCAAATGCCATTTTGGTGACTTTAGACATTCTCTGTTACCAGTAGGGAATCTCTCAACTAGAGCCTTGGTCCAGATCCCCAGAGAATGGTTCCATGATATAATAGTTATATATGTGTAGTTGCAAAAATACAACATAAATTTAAAACACTTGTCAACGATACCTTAAAAGGCCACAAGATGGGGATGTTAACTATGAAAATAAATATTAACAAACTAAGGATGAGTGGATGTGTGTACGCGCACGTGTGCACATCAGTATGATTTTTTTTTCTTAATGGAAAAGGACTGGCATTTATCACTCTCATGTCAAGCGAGACAATTTATCGTTTTCATTTTAAAAGTGAGAAAATACAAGACTAAAAGGCTCATGAGGTGACTTCCACAGTTWCGTGCATAGCAAATGGCAAGTTGGATTGCAAGTCTGGTTCTGAATGAATATAAAACCCATGATTGTCTAGACTACACCACTAGCTTACCTACTGATGATTAGATTAGAGGATACATCAGGAATCCTGTACTATCAGACTCAAAGAAGATTTAAAACTGCATAAAGAATTCCTTTTCCTCTTTGTAGCTCCTCTTTTCCTAGGTATTTTCTCTTTTGTGTCCTTTCTTCTACCATATGACTTTATAGTCATGATGTAAATCTCTTACCTTCCTTTACAAACTTGCTTTTCCTTTGAGTTCTTAATTTTCTGTTTCACCCATACCCAGTTAATCACTTGGTACTTAAAATAGCTCCTCCTTTTAAATATGTTCCCTTAGCCTAGAGCTTTCCCACTTTCCACCATCTCCTTCCAGGTCATTCTTTGTACCCTCAGGACTCAGCAATGGAATCTTGATGTCATCTCTGACTTAGGCTGAATTTTTCTAGGCTACGTGAGTGATACCCAGGGCATCCTTCATAATAGCACTTAATACATGTCAGTAGAATCACAGATATCAGTTTTCCACATTAAATTGTAATCATCTAAATATCAGGCTCATTCATGTACGTATCCTTAATGGAAAACATAACTTCTGAATAAGTGTTTTTTGAATGACAGAAATATTTAGATTAGACAGTATTTGCTGAATGCTTGCTTAGGCAGGATTCACATGAGCTGGGAAATGAAAAGAAGGGGGCTGGACAGCGTCTGCTTCTCTCTTCTACATTTATAGTATAATAGGAAAAAACAAATGTAAAATAAAATAGAAATCAGAGGGTTGTAACTACCATGGAAACATAAAAGGTCATGGAGAAGTGTCTTATTGCTGTTTTGCTAAAAAATCATCTTTCATATTAAATAGTATTTTCTTCTATAAAAGTTGTATTCTCCCTAAAGAAATCAAAGAAAACCTCAGAAGATGGAAAGATCTACTTTGCTCTTGGATAGGCAGAATTAATATTATCAAAATGACCATACTTCCAAAAGCACTATACAGATTTAATGCAATTCCGATCAAAATCCCAATGACATTCTTCATAGAAATAGAAAAAGCAATCATCAAATTCATCTGGAGAAATAAGAGACTCAGAATAGCTAGCTAAGCAATCCTTAGCAGGAAGAGTGAAGCAGGTGGCATCACTATACCAGACCTTAAACTATACTACAGAGCAATAGTAACAAAAAACAGAATAGTGTTGGCACCAAAGCAGATTGGTAGACCCGGAGTACAGGATAGAGGACACAGAGACTAACCCACAAAATTACAATTATCTTATATGAGACAAAGGTGCCAAAAACATACATTGGAGAAAAAAATAGCCTCTTCAACAAATGGTTCTGGGAAAACTGGAAATCCATATGCAACAAAATGAAATTAAAACCCTATCTCTCACCATGCACAAAACTCAACTCAAAGTGGATCAAGGACCTAGGAATTAAACCAGAGACCCTATGTCTAATAGGAGAAAAGTAGGCCCAAATCTTCATCATGTTGGATTAGGCCCAACTTCCTAAATAAGACTCCTATAAAGTGCAAGAATTAAAATCAAGAATCAATAAATGAGATGGATTCAAACTGAAAAGTTTCTTCTCAGCAAAGGAAACAATCTGTGAGGTGAATAGAGAACCTACTTCTTGGGAGCAAATTTTTACCCCTCACACATCAGATAGAGCACTAATCTCTAGGATATATAAAGAACTCAAAAAGCTAAACACCAAAAACACAAATAACCCAATCAATAAATGGGCCAAGAACCTGAACAGACACTCCTCAGAGGAGGATATATAATCAGGCAACAAACATGAAAAAAAGTTCATCATCTCTAGCAATTAGAGAAATGCAAATCAAAACTACTCTAAGATTTCATCTCACTCCAGTCAGAATGCCAGCTATTATGAAGACAAACAACAATAAGTGTTGGCGAGAATGTGGGGAAAAAGGTATACTCGTACACTGCTGTGGGGACTGCAAATTGGTGCAGCCAATATGGAAAGCAGTATGGAGATTTCTTGGAAAACTGAATGGAACCCCATTTGACCCAGCTACCCCCCTCTTCTCGGTCTATATCCAAAGGACTTAAAAACAGATTAATACAGGGACACAGCCACATCAATGTTTATAGCAGCACAATTCCCAAAGCTCAACTGTGGAACTAACCTAGATGCCCTTCAGTAGATGAATGGATAAAAAAAAATGTGGCATATATACACAATGAAATATTACTCAGCAATAGAAGAGAATAAAATCATGGCATTTGCAGGTAAATGGATGGAGTCAGAGAAGATAAAGCTAAGTGAAGATAGCTGATCCCAAGAATACAAATGCCGAATGTTTTCTTTGATATAAGGAGACTGATTCATAGTGGGATAGGGAGAGGGAACATGGGAGGAATAGATGAACTCTAGATAGGGCAGAGAGGTGGGAGGGGAAGGGAGGTGGCATGGGTTTAGAAATGATGGTGAAATGTGATGGACATTATTATCCAAAGTACATGTATGATGGAGACATGCAAATCCATATGGAAATCCATATGCAACAAAATGAAATTAAAACCCTATCTCTCACCATGCACAAAACTCAACTCATAGTGGATCAAGGACCTAGGAATTAAACCAGAGACCCTGGATATTGGTGTAAATATACTTTATATACAACCAGAGATATGAAAAATTGTGCTCTATATGTGTAATATGAATTATAATGCATTCTGCTGTCATATTAAAAAAAAAAGTATATCCTGGGTGGGGTTGTGGCTCAGTGTTAGAGCACTTGCCTAGCATGTGTGAGGCACTGGGTTCAAGTCTCAGCACTGCATATAACTAAATGAATAAAATAAAGGTCAAAAAAAAAAAGTTGTGTTCTATGTATGAAAACATCTTGAAATATAGAAATACATGAGATTTTCTATCACTGAATAAAGGTTATAGAGTTTCTAGAGTGTTATGCCAGTGGATAGTAATCTATGAAGAAGAGAATATTCATTGATCACTTAATAAAACAATTAAAATGTTGGAATATCCCCATTAGAGATGTGTTACATTGTACCATATTCTTGAGGTACAATTCCTAGGTTTATGATAATCTAAGAATTAATCTAGAATTTTATGGATTCTGTCCCAGTTCATCTGTGTGCCTGTTATCTGTGGAGTCTTTTGCTTATGGAGCCTCTGGGACTTTAGGTTTTGTTTTTAAAACAAAATTGTGTAGTATAGGTATGTAAATATCCATAATAACAATAATCTGATCCTGTGGAGAAGCAGTAGTACATTGTGTCCACTCCTGTCCTGCCACACTGTCTTACTTTGGCCTGTTGACTATCATTGCTTGTTTTAAATGGGGGGAAAAAAAACCTACCTGGAAGTTTCAAGATTGGCCCATGGTGAACATTGGATTACCTTCCATTTCATAGTTAAATGAAGGGCTCTGTAATCACTGCTTTGTTTCTTTCAAGTAACTAGGTATGCTTTGCAGGATTCGTACTTAAATTACGCACTTATTCAGCAAACATTTATTGAATGTTTATTTATAAACATTTATTAACTACCCCAAGCATCCCTGTAGGTACTGTGGTTGTTAGGTAAATGGACAAAATAGGCAAGGTCTCTGCATTCTTTGAGCTTACCTTCTAGTGGGGAGAGGCATGTAAGTAAGTAGGTACATGCACTTACTATTAAATGCTGTAAATAAAACAGTAATGGGATTGAGCAGGCTGTTTGAATGAGGTGCCTTCATTGTACATTTGAACATAAATTCTTTGAGGAACAGAATTAATGTTTTGTTATTTGTTGTTTTCCGAGTTCCTAAAATAGTACATAATAGGTGCTCATTAATTATTTGTTGAGTAAATTGATTCATTGTGTAAGTACGCCATTGTTAATAAGATACACATCTTCAGCCCTCTGCTTAGATACTTAGGAGTTGCCTCAAGACATCTTAGAGATTTGGGGGGGGGGGTTGTTTAGATCTGTTCGGGCAGATGAGAATTCTGCATGTCCCTGCTTGGTTGAACTTCAGTCTTACATCCTTCAGTGGGTTATAGTGTGGGAGGCACAGAGCTCTGAGAAGCTGGATGCTCCTGAACGCTGTGTGTAGATAATCAGTGGGTCACACAACACTTATCACATGGGAGGGAGGTGGTCATCAGGTGTAGAGAGTTCTTTCCAATCCACCTGTGTCTAAATGGGCCTTCGTTGTATTTTTAAAGTGAATGTTTTGAAGAAATGTTTGTGTTAGGCAAAGGGAAGAACTCTTAAAAATTACACATGACCACGCCTCACCCCCATTTTTTTCAGTTAGTTTGGAGGATAGAGGGGGGTAGACAGAAGAGAAGTGTTTTGTGAAAGTTTTTCAGAAGTTCCCCAGGTGGAAAACTGATTATTCTTGTATAGAATGGGACTAGATCCTTATCACCCTACACAAAAATCAACTCAAACTAGATAAAAAACCTAGGAGTTAGAACAGAAACTACCTAACTCCTAGAAGCAAACGTAAAGTCAACACTCCAGCACATAGGCACAGGCAATGACTTTCTCAATAGGACCCCTAAAGCTCAGGAAACAATGCCAAGAGTTAATAAATGAGATACCATCAAATTAAAAGCTTCTGCACAGCAAAGGAAATAAGAAAATGAAAGAGAAACCACAGAATGGCAGAAAAAGCTTTGCTACCTACTCTTCTGATAGGATTAATATACAGAATATAACAAACAATCAAAAAACTTTACACACACACACACACACATACACACACACGGACAAATGAATTAAACAGATAACCCTCACAAGAAGAAATACAAATGGCCAACAAACTTGAAAAAAGTTCAGCATCATAAAAATTAGGGAAATGTAAATCAAAACTACACTAGGATTTCATCTCACTGCAGTCAGAATGGCAATCATCAATAATACAGTAATGTTAGAGAGGATATGGAGAAATGGAACACTTATATACTGTTGGTGGCATTGTAAGTTAGTACAGCCACTATGGAAATCAATATGATGTTCCTCAAGAGACTAGAAATAGAGCCACCACGTGATCCAACTATACCACTCTTCAGTATTGATCCTGAAGAATTTAAGTCAGTGTACTATAGTGATGGATGCATACCCATGTTTATAGCAGTACAATTCACAATAGTCAAACTATGGAACCAGCCTAGATGTCCACCAGTAGATAAATGGGTAAATAAAAATGTTGTTTTACTCAGCCAGAAGGAATGAAATTTATGTAATTTGTTAGAAAATGTTCTAATTCCTAGGTTTTTGATCTAGTTTGAGTTGACTTTTGTGCAGGGCGATAAGGATCTAGTCTCATTCTACATATTGTTAGGCAAAATAAACCAACTAAAAAAGTCAATTGTCGTGTTTTCTCTCCTATGTGGAAGCAGGAGAGAAAAGGTGGGGGAAATCGTTGAGGGCAGGGGATCTCAGGAAAATGGAAGAGCGATCAGGAGATTGGAGGAAGGAGACCAGGGGAAGGAAAATGACACTGGGCAAATTATATTGTTATAGTGTATGCATGTACTAATATGTAATAACAAATCTTACGTACAACTATAATGCACCAATTTTTTAAAAATTATGGGAAGAAAGTTCCCATTCTCCAACTAGAAACACAATTGCATGTCCGCATTTAAATATGCATATATAATACTTGTTTAGTTGCCAGTTATCTAGTGCACTTCAAAAAATTTTTGAGTTATAAGAGCCATAGGTTTCTCCTTTTAAATATTTCATTGTCATGACTTATTTCATAAATTAAGATAATGCTTTCTCTAGTGTTTAAGTGCTGAGTGACAGTAGGTAGTTCAGGATCCTTAAAGTTAACTTTTAAGTTGGGTTTTCACTGAACAGTCTTAAATTTGGTTAGAGTAGGCCCCTGTCACCTAATATAAAGGAGAAAAAATTTTTTTGTTTTGAAGAGACACAAAGAAATTGTCTTTTTTGCTTTCTGGTGAGTGCTTCAGAAAGTTCCTGGGTGTTCACAGTTATCTTAACCCTGTTAACGTTTTAGAGAACTGATGAGCAGTGAAGTGTTACATTCACTGGGCAACAGTGTCCCCTAGGGTACGCCTTACATTTCCATTTGGAAACTTCTAACACACCTGGGCAAACACCTTTGTCAGCCTTTGTGTGTGAAACACAGCAAAGGTAGGTTATGATTGTGTCCGAATGCTGCTTCAGCAGAACATGAAACCTTATTTGAAAGCTGTTTGACTAAGTTTTGCAGCTAATGAACATTCTGACAGTACATTTAATCTGCTTGTAGGTTACATTATTAGTCAGAGGCAGGACTAAAGTAAACTCTCAGTTAAATATTACCTTAATTTATATCATTTTGTTTTTAATTACTTGAGTACTCAAGGCCACAGAGGGAAGAACATTGCTTACGTATATTTTACAGTTTAATCTCTTAGAATGTGCTATTCTCTGTTGTTTAATAAAAGTTTCAAAACTGTAAACATTCTTAAAAGATATATATCTTTTTTTAAACTAGTGTTCAGAATCAAGTGGATGAAGTTATTGATGTCATGCAAGAAAATATTACAAAGGTAATTGAAAGAGGGGAGAGACTAGATGAACTACAGGACAAATCAGGTACAGATACTTCATATTTCTTGATATTATTGATCTGTTTTACCAATTTTTGTCTTCCTTCTCTTGTCTAGCCAACATTTAGGAATTTTGGCTTAGGAAATTAGTATTTGATTCATAGATGTATGACCTGTATAGTTTAATTTTCTCTCCCTTTATTTGAATCCTCCTATTGTATTATTTCCTTACTGTTCAGTGGAGAATTTAAAATTCTTATTGAAGTATGAAGGGTAGAACTACGTTTTCCTTTTGCCCCATTATGTGGATATGCTTTATGTTTCTCATGATCTCAAGACATAAAGGTCTGATTACTTTTTTCCAAAACTTTTCCAAACTTATCTGATAGTTTTATTTTATGATAACTTTAGTAACTTTTCTTTACTGACGATGTTACCTCTGTACTAACAGTTCCTGGCACTCACTAGGCCAGATACTGTTTGATGACTAGCAGAATACCTGGTAACTTTCGAGTTCTSTGTTAACTTAGTGAGTTTCTTTACTGGAAGATGTCAGTCTTTGCGCTTCTAACAGTTCCTGGCACACGTTAGTCCCTCACATTGTTTGAATGGTGAACGGCTGAATACCTGATTAATTCTCGACAGACTTGCTTGACCAAGAGACTTGCTTAATTGCTTTAAAAGTTCATAACATTTTCTTTCAAAATCAGTCAGTTTTCTAAAAATCTTTCTTCACTTGTAATTTTTTCTTAGCAATGTACCAAGTTTTTATTGTTGTTGTTTTGTTGTGATTTTTCTGGTTCTAGGGATTGAACCTGGGGCCTTATGCATGCAAAGCAGGTGGGTGCTCTACCACTGAGCTATACCCAGTGCCCAGTATTTGTTTTTTTAAGGACTATTTTCTCACCAGCATTTATAAGTTTTTGTAATATGCATCCAGCCTCTGGGAATGCATCTCTCATATCACAGTGAAAATGAATTGAGCTAACTGACCTGCAGCTGCATTTTGCTTTTTAGTTTTAACTAGGGAGAATGGTAGAATTTGTGGGTGGAGGATGTTTTCATGCTTAAGAGGGAACAAATTTACAGAAGTAGAAATTAATATTTTCTTGTCTTTGTGTGACTAGATAAAAGAATCCTGTTATGTCGTTTAATCCTTCTCTCCATCCTCTGTGTGATATAGAAAGCTTATCGGATAATGCAACTGCTTTTAGCAACAGAGCCAAACAACTTCGAAGGCAAATGTGGTGGCGTGGATGCAAAGTAAGTGAATCAGAAGACACTGGGTAGACTGGCTAGACTCTCAAGGGGCCGTCCACGACAGGAAAGAAAGGGGCCTGTGCAGGATGAGCTCTGTGAGGACAGGGGCTGTAACCGTCTTGCTTATTATTGTTTCATCTCCTGAACCTGGGTATGGAAGGAGCTGGGTAAATATTTGTTGAATTAATGAATTCTTTTGGGGCAAGAATCAAGGAATCAAGTAGTCCCTAAAAGAATGTTTTTAAAGGGGTTTATCAGGCCAGACATGGTGGTACACTCCTGTAATCCTAGCAGCTCAGAAGGTGCAGCAGGAGGATCCCGAGTTCAAAGCCAGCCTCAGCCAAAGTGAGGTGCTAAGCAACTCAGACCCTGACTCTAAATAAAATACAACATAGAGCTAAGGATGTGGCTCAGTTGACCAAGTGCCCCTGTGTTCAATCCCCAGTACCACTCCCCCCAAAAAGTGGTGTTTTTCAAAATCTCTTACAGCAAATGGAATTAAGAAAAATACCATATCCCTCATTATTCCAGAGAAATAAGGAAATTTTCTTAAACGTTCAACCGTGTCCTGGGAAGCAGCTTGAGACTAGAAGTCCAACAGCCTGTTTTGCTTGCAGTTCTTCCACTTAACAAGCATGACCCCTTTGACCCCAGCACCTTACCTGTAAAATGGGATACTGATGACTTATTCTTAAAATGGGACTGATGAGCATGGCCATGACTTCCTCCCTCCATGAATAAACAAATAACATAAATAATAACAAAATTTTAACAAGTTAAAAAAACCGGAATCACTATATGCTACTATATTCCTGCAGAACATTTTATAGAAATGAATTTACCTCATAGTCAAGAATGGCTAGTAATCAGAAAACTCTTGTTCATTGAGGTGTTTAAAAATCAGTACCAATATTTTCATTTAAATTTTTTCAAAAGTTAATTAAGTCTAGCTTTATATTAACAGGGCAAAATAATGTGCATTTTGGGCAAAGTGGGAAAACTACCATAAAAGTCCAGAAATTTTTCAGGTTAAATAAAGGATTAAAGAACTTTAGTTTGGGGCTGGGGTTGTAGCTCACAGGTAGAGTGTTTGCGTAGCACATGTGAGGTACTGGATTCAATCCTTAGCACCACATAAAAGTAAATAAATTATTGTGTCCATCTTCAATTTAAAAACGTATTTTTTAAAAAAAGAACTTTAGTTTTTAGTATAATGTGGGCCCTACTGAAAATATAGCTCCTATTTCCGTTAGTTCTGAGTCTGTTTCTACTTTTTTTGATTATTATTATAATGAATAATTTTTATAGGACTGATGTCCAAATTGCTGAACCACTAGTTGTGGTCTAGTCAGTTGTCAGTTAACTCCAATAAGAAGGGGCCATCCTAGTGTGCGTGAATAGAATCCACAGGAACTGCCCTGGGTCATTTTGTTAACTGTCATGAATGGAATGCCATAGACATGTCACCATTAGTTCTACTTTTAGAAACATTAACTATTACTGTTTCTATTTGTGACACTCATTAGATTTTTATCTGTTTATAATAACTGGGTATCTTCTTTCTGAATGAACCATTTTTAGTCAACTATTTATAAAAATGATGAAAATAAATAAATTTCAGCAGTGAATTGAAATTTATAATTTATGCATTTTAGGATTAAATGATGAACATGACAGTTTTATATAGAAAGATAACATAAACTTCAGTTGTCAAGTAGCTGACAGGAAACTGATTTAAGGTTGCTTCTCTTGAATATAAAACTGATTCCAAATAATCTTAGGCAACTTACTAAGTGAGGCTGTTTGTGACGAATCCAAAATATATTCCTTGAGATGGAAATTAAGGCACCATGAAGAAAGAGGGAAGAGAACACTAACATTGCTCTCCTGTACTTTCAGAATATGTACTATAAATATGCTGCTTTTCAGAATTCCAGTTACCCACAGCCAGCTGTGGTCCAAAAATGTTAAAAATTGTCTCAACTCTTTCAAGAGAGAGACTGAATTCCCATGACTTTTACTACAAATATATTGTTATAGTTCTGTTTTATTATTAGTTGTTAATCTCTTACTGTACTAATTTGTAAACTTTATCTTAGGTATTCATGTTTGGGGAAAAACATAATATAACATATAGGATTGGGTTCTCTCCATGGTTTCGGGTGTCCATTGGGATCACATTCATAAGAACATATTCCCTCCATCAGAGAAGACCTCTGTGTATTGACTGCCTGTGCTAACCTTCACAGCCTGCCACTTGGACAGAGTTGCTATCATATACTTTTCCTGGCCTCAAAAACAAATATGTGAAACATAGACAGAGGGTCCAGACCCACGAAGGTGTTACTGTATCTTACAGTACAGCCTTGAATGGCATAAAGTCCAGTGAGGCAAAGCACTTGGGTTTGGGGGAACTCAAAATATTGTTTATGAAAGAATGCAAAGCAGCCGTCAAGTTCATATGAGAAACAAATTGAAACCTTTCAAGGAATGTTCCTGTTCATTAATGAGTTAGAGTAACATGGCAGGTAGCAGAACAGATAGTCCTTACTTTAGGCTTTATAAATGAGTCAGACAATGTCTTTCATGTGTCTGTTTTGTGTGTTGTAGATAAAAGCCATCATGGCTTTGGTTGCTGCCATCCTTTTGCTAGTGATTATCAGTAAGTATTTACTGGATTGTTACTTCTTGGGGTTATTATGTGTTTGGGAGGTCATTTAATTCCCTTTTAATTATTTTCAGTTAACCTAGAATGTAATGTCAGGAGTGAATGACTTGCTTAACTAAGTCAGGAGCCCTTATCTATGATCTTTAAAATGTTGTAATGTGTTTGTGAAATTTTTTGAGAATATGCAGATGTACATATCTACAGGGAAAGAGGCAGATTCTCAAAAGGAAGCCCTCTCTGACCTCTCATCACCACTCCCAAATAAGGGCTAAGTGACTTGTTCAAGGCCAGGACTGGCTCCTATTCACTGAGGATGAAATCTTCATCTTCTGTTTATTGTTAGCTTCCAGGTGCGTCGGTTAGCAGCCAGCATGTTGTTTTAGAAGGACAGATCCAGTGAAATTCTCTAGATGATGTGTCTTTAGTCTTATTTGGTTGTGGATTTGAACTGAACTACGGTCCTTAAAACATAACTCCTTTATTTCCTTTTTTCCTTAATATTATTTTTTAAGATCAAGTCGTTTTTAGTATCTGAGTTTCTTTAAGCCCTCTTTACCCATGTTCACAGAGATTTTATTAAGTAGGTCTTGAAAGTGCCTCAGAATAATCATGTGAAAATGTTTATGAGGTTATTTTTTGTTACTAAGAAAAGTTGTCTCATCTGGCCTGGTGGCGCAGACCTGTAATCCCAGCTGAGGAGGGAGGCTGAGGCAGGAGGATCAAGTTCAAAGCCTCAACAATTTAGGCCCTCAGCAACTTATGAGACCCTGTCTCAAGATAAAAAGGGATAAGGACATAGGTCATTGGTAAAGTGCCTGGGGTTCAATCCCCAGGACCAAAAAAGAGAAGTACAGTTGTCTGTTTAGTTGTAGGTTTTCGGTTTGTGAAATAAGATAGAACTTATTTCTGATCCCCAAATTACTACTGGTGTTGCTCTTACAGTCATTAGCAGATGCGTTCTTTGAATCTCCTGCATGCAGGTTTCCAACTGAGGTCAGACAAAGCCATCTCTGCCCCCTCCTTTCAGCTCTCTTACATAAATAGGTAGGCTTTCTATAGTCTACGAATCCCTGTTTTTCCCTTTTTTGTACTTTCGGTGATTTCCTAGTTTTCAATGCCTGTGGCCACAGTTCTCCAGTGTCCTCTAATGCAGTAAAGTTTAGGAAGGCCAGGCTGAGCCCGAAGAGAAAGCCATGTGTTGGGCAGGCTTTGTTCAGCATGAGCTGGTGCTGTCAGCCTTGAGTTCAGTGTCATTTGAACCAAAAGTACATATTAAATGTCTTTAAACAGAAACACAGAAAACAGCGTTATGTATTAATTGGTTGACAAGAATGGGTTCCTTAAAGGAAAGAAATTAAACAGGCTTAGAAGATGAAGGGAAGAAGGCACAGGCACACAGTTTTGGTAAAAGAAGACTAGACCTATACTGAAGATAGGAAGAAGACAATGAACTGCTATGAAGTCTTCCTAACAGAGAAAGAAAATGTCTTTTGTTGTTAATCTAGTTGTTAAAAGGGGTAGCTGTAACTTTCCTAGGTTAATATACCACAGTGGATCTAAGCATCAGGTACGTCCACAAGAAATCGATTTTTGAAATGCTATGGCTAAATGGTAGAAAGATTAGTAGAGGGAAGGGAACAGAAGATGGGAGAGGGGAGGAGAAGGGGAGGTACCGGGGGCTGAACTGGAACAAGACATATTCCATGTTTTCACAGTTACGTCAAAATGGATTCTACGGTCATGTATAACTAAAAAGAATGGATCCAAAGACAGGAGTAGCTACAAAAAAAAAAAAAAGAATGTCCTAGCCAGAGGCTCATGAGAACTTGGGACTGTGTTTTCCCCAGGAGCTGTGATTCGTATTCACGAATTTAGTGTTTATGGTAACTTTATAGAACCCAACACTGTATCAAATAACAAGATCAGCCACATATGGTGTCAAAGTGGAAAATAAGGAATAGCGTAAAGAAGAAAATAAAATAATCTTGCCATACAGAGATAGCTACTCATTAATAAAACTGCAGTGTAGTTTCTAGTCTTTTCCCATTATATATAAACATGTTTTTCAGAAACTAAGATCATATTGTATATATTTCTTAATAAATATATTGTGAACATTTTCTCATGTTATTAAATATACTTATAATATTTTGGCAGTGACATGCTGTTATGCCATAATTTGATCAAAATGCCTGTGTTAGATATTTGAGTTATTTTGTGATATTCTCGTATTTTTTTTTCTTGTTTTTAAGTTGTATAAAGTCGAGCCCTTGTTACCCCTTTCTAAAAGTAGACATAACTACATTTAGGAATATTGCTTCTATATGAATCTGATTTTGACTTCTTTTTTCATTTTCTTTCTCTTACAGTTCTTATAGTTGTGAAGTACCATACTTGATTTGATGACAGAGATCTTCATTAAACAAGAACTGGGACAATAATAATTAAAAGATTGCTGTATAATTTAAATGGAATATATGTATATAACTTTCAAAACTTCTTTTCCAAGAAACTAAGAGTCAAGTATCACTTCAAATTGGAACATTGAGAATGTTCAGTTAACTGCTTCCTTTCTAACAAAATGTGCTTATGATAATTATGTTTAACACAAAGATAACTTTACGTTGCTATATTCCAAGGTCTAATTTGAAACTAGATACTTGCCAGTTTATTATTTGCGTATATAGTTAAATACTGATGGCAGTGTTTCATACCAGTGTTTTAGTGGCACAAGGACTTGTATTATTGCATGGAGATGGGGTCAGGAAGCCTGTGTAGCATACCAGACTGTTAAGCTAAGAGTTGCACAACCACAACATTTGCAAGAATATAATTCTTTTCATTTTACGGTTGCTTTGAAGCAGTTTCCACATGTTTATGGGTGTAACAAAAGCTAAATGTTGTCARTGTTTCTGCCTTCAGCTATAACTAAGAACATTCCAGTAAACCCACTTCTAATTGTACAAGGGAATGGATTATAGAAATGGGAAATTCAAACAGAAAAAAGGCCTAGTATGGCACCATAATCTGGAGACAGTAAAATTATTGGAGAATATTGTTGACATGTTTGAAAGTGACCAGTACTCATAGCTACCAGTTGTGGTCTAGTCAGTTGTCAATTAACTCCAATAAGAAGGGACCAGTCCTAGTGTGTGTGAATAAAATCCACAGGTAACTTTTTCCTTAATTTTACTTTGGTTAGTAGTTTTTCTCTTTGACTTCAACCTTTTTGCCTGAAATGCTAAGGTGGGCCCAGTCAGCTGTTCGGATTTCCTGTCTGTGTTCTGATCCTCCTCCCAGGAGCAGATGTTGCACAGTCTAGTCAGAAGAGCCAGCAGGAGTGAGTAGTAAAACTTGGGGGCACAGGCCCTTCTGTAGACGACCAGTCAGCAGCCTAACGCTACGGGGTCACCGTTAATCTCAGCCCATTTTTATAAAGTACATTAATTTAAAAATGCACCAACCTCCTTGTACGGTTCAAACAAGTGAAGATGCAGAATAAGCATGTGAGGAGGAAGCATTGTGATAAAACCAGATTCTTCAGGAACTTGAGCACATGGACATCCTAGGTTGGAGGGGGCAGAAATAGGCTCCTGGAATTCACCGACATTTAAGAGAGTTAATGAACAATCCAGTTTAACAGATTTCATTTCTTTGATCATTTTAATTTAAAATGTCCAAAACATAGAATTTGAATGTGTTTGCTTGATTAATTCTACATTATTAGTACCAAGAGGCAAAATGTTCTATTTAGAATAGAAAGAAATTTGGAGAAAGTGGGTCAAAAAATACTTAGGACACTTAAATTATAAAGATCTAAAGAGCTAAATTTTATAATGTGCTTGAAGCATTGGAAGAGATCCAGGCCTTACATGCTGAGGGTGAAGTTTCTGGTGTCTGTCTCCTTCTCTAGGTGTCAGTTATACAAATAGCATCTGAACTGCTAGTAAATCCTGTGACAAAGGAGGGTATGCAAAAAAAAAAAAAAATGAGCACTTTTAGACTTGTCAGTAGCTAATAGTTCAGGAATGGAAATGTTTTAACTGAATTGGCAGAATCAATCCTGATGTATGTATGTATTTTATTTAGATTGGAACAGACTTATAAATGGTTAATTTTCCGTTAGTTGGTGTGGAAATCTGGTTTCTTTAAAATATATATTGGCACAGATGAAGATTATTTCTTAAAGACTCCACATTTCTAGTGTTTCTCTTAGTAAAAGTCTACCACTTTCAAAGACATAATTATTTAAAAAGTAAAATTATTTTTAAAATTTTTAATCATAAAAATAAAGGAACTATTTATATGGCATTATTGTACATATGCAGTTGTGTTTGTATTTAAATATATTGCTGCTGGGAATACTGGAGGTGGACAGGTGACTCTGGGAACTTTGCAGTAGTGGTGGCTTGGTTCACAGCTTATCATTTTGTCTGTCCTGGTGTTGATTAATCCTGAGACCCTTAAACGGGCTGGCACTTTTGTGACATTATTGTGGTAACACTGGAGACAGCCATTTTAAGATCAAGAAGCAGAGTGGTTCACATTGATGCCACACCTACGTCATTCCTCCCTTAATCACTCTTTTTCTCATTCAGCTCAGATCATCCTGCACTGGAAAAAATGAAGTTTACCTCCAAAACTGTCAGGATTTAACAACAGTGAAGAGAACACAGAAATTCAAATAGCTTTGTAAATAGTGGTTGGTACTGGGTGAAATCAGGTCACTGTTTTTATGTGTGAAACTTGCCCTCGTGACTTGTGTTTAACTGCAGAGACCTCGTCCTGCAGCAGTTTTGAGGTTATAATACTAACTGGTCCTCCTCCTGATTGTCAGTCAGTAATACAGGTGGGCTTTTGCGCCTGTCTTCTAACAAAGCTCACTAGAAAATGCCCTGAGATGTTGTAAACGGGGAGATTTCTTTATTAAAGGGAAGTTCAATATCAAAGCTAGAACATTGCCTACAACGGAGGAGGCTAACTAGTACACCCTCGAGATAGCTCCCTGTGGACTCCTGCTGGTGTAGTCTTTCTGTGCATTTTTGTACGCTGCGTTAGGAAATTATAATGTTGCCGTTCTTATTACACAAATTGGCATCTTTGAGTCCCGTGTGGCATGCGGGTGTCCTGTGGCTGCTTCTGCGAGCATGGACTGAGGTCTCTGTTGCCAGCACCTTCTTTAGCGGGCTCCATGTGCTGTCACCACCCTGGCTCTGTGTCCACATCTGGAGCTACACTATGGTGAAAATATGCAAGAACATGTGCCACTGTGTCTCTAATTGTGTCGTGTCAGAGTATCGCTCAGTCCAGGGGTGTTCTGTTCGTCTAATTTTGTCTTCACATGGAAATGATCTTGGGGGCTGTGACCGGGGAGTCAGTGTGAATCAGCATGAACACATTTGAGAACGCTGTGTGGTGTTGACATCAGTGCAGGAAATCGCCACAAAGCAATTTAAAGACACCGTGGCTCATCAGAGACTGACAGGTGCTGTACACCTTGATCCCTACGTAGTTGTTTTTTGTTTTGTTTTTGAGATGGGGTCTTGCTGTGTTGCCCACACAGAGTAGCCAGGACTATAGGCATGTGCCACCATACCTGGCTTTTTAAGTTTAATGTTAGTCTTACTCGATCTTTGTTTTTGTTTTTCCTGTCCCCCCCCCCAAAAAAAATCAATTAGAATGAGGGATATGGACATAAACTCTTTGATTCTGAGTGTGAGGAACACATGGGTAGAAATCAAAAGGAAAGCATGACTGACCCGGTTTTAGGGGAATACACATAAGCTAGAGAGCAAGGACTACACCATGCTCCTGTGTCTCCCCAGCTCCCTGCACAGAGCTGCGTGCTCGGCAGGGGCTAGATAAGTGTGCACTGCTTGAAAGTCACAAAAACACCAGTGTAAGAGCCAACTGCGACACTGTTCCCTGGAGAGGGGACATGGTTGACAAAACAGTGGGACCTTCAGCTTTACCTAGAGAGAATAGTTCTTGTACTAACTCAGTATAGAAAATTCTGATTTTACAATATGCATTAGGTTCTTTTCATTTGAAGAGGTCATGAAATCAAGTCACATATTAATTACTTTATGGCTACAAAGTAAATTGCATAAACCAGAGATTTTAGTCTGTAAAATGTCAAAAAACAAACTGAGAAAATTCAAGCGCTTGATTTTATGTCTTGGGTATATGTCTTCTTTTACCTTCCACCTTCCTTCACTCAACTGTTTGCTAAGTGCCTTTGACATTTTAGATGTATGCTGGGAGTTGACAAATGTAAACGTCGTGTGCCCTGTTCTTCAGCTTCTTGATTCCTTATAACCATTTTTTACCAGTGTTGCCAAGTTTGGTCCTCTGTGTGCATATAAGATATGTATTTGTAGCCTCTCCGTAGTAAACAGTGAAATAAACTATTTCATAGAAAATGAAAATTAAGCATTTTGGCTTTTCAGTATGTGTCACCTGTTGCCTAAATTTTAAAGCACAGTTTATTTAGAGTAACATCTGCATAATCACCCCTGGTTTAGTTCATCCCAATTTGCCAATAAAATACATGGAGGAAAATTAAGAAAAAGAAAAGGTATTCCTTCACCAAAAACTATGCCAGTGTACAACCTAATGATGAAATTGAGAATTTCTCAGTGTGAAGTCACCGAGTCTCAGTCGCAGGGGCGGGCAGGGAGAATCAGTGGAACGCTCATGCTTCGTCTCCTGACGTCTATTTGAAAGACAAATTAATCTATGTGTCCCAAGCAGAAAACTCGGCACCTCTCCCTCAGCTTCATGGTGCTGCTCTCACAATAATGTGGAAATCGCACATTCCCTCCAGACTCCCTCTTTCCACACACTAAACTATGTCTTCTTGATAATTTTTAAAAGCATAGGAGGAGGATATTGGGGCACCTGTACCCTGAGATGTACAGTCTCTCACGGGGCTCTCAGCAGGACTGGAGACAGCAGGCACCCTGGTAAGTGCATCCTGAGGGTGTATTAAGTCAAGTCCACCCCTTGGCATGCGGAGAAGCAGCAGTACCAGATCCTCTGCAGCCAGCAGTCACACCTCGTGAATGTCCATTAGATGCTCAAAACCGCTGTGGAGCAGGGAACAGCCGTGGGTGTGAGGATCTGGACTAGTAGCCAAACGCAGAGCTGAGCAGGGCCAGGGCGGCACCGTGCCCTGTTATGCAATGGGCCAAACCCCGGCTGAGGGTGTGTGAAAAGGTGCACACCAGGAGGGCCAGCACCTCCGGATTGTGCCAGGTATGTGCAGACTYGCTGCTCTTTATTCCTTCCTTAACTCCCCTGTGCCCTGTCAGCTTCGCCCTGCATCTCTGTCCTCTGTAGGAGTGGTCCTTGGCCTGTTGATCCTGGCTGTTTACAGTTCTTTTCTTAGCTCATTCTCGTACTTTAATATACAACCAGGTCATGCCATTCCTTTGCTTAGGCTCCGGTGGAAAAGCTGAAGGTGTGAGGTTGTGCACCTGAGGTCCCAGCATCCAGAAGGCCAAGGCAGGAGCGTCATGTGAGCTCTCCAGTGGGAGACAGCTGGGCAACACAGATCCCGGGAAAAAGGAAACACCTGCCACGGCTTCACACCTTCCCTAGAATGAAAGCCACAGCCCTCCTGCAGCCTGCAGGTCTCGGGTCTTCCTGAAGCCCTTTGTGACCCCTGAGCCTGTCCCTTGGCTGTGCTGCGCTGTGCTGGCCTCACTGCCCTCAGACACCACGTGTGCTTCCGCCTCAAGGCCTCACTTGTCCTGCCTTGGACGGTCAGACTTCACCTCTGCTGACTCCCAGGAGTGCACCCTGCAGGCCCTCCCCTCCACCTTCCCAGAACATTTAACCCTTCTGACACTTGACACTAAGGGTGAGCTTCGTGACAAGAGGGACCTGTCTTGTTCTCTGATGGCAAGTGTCATAGTGAGTGCTCAGGCAATTCAGTGAATGGGTCGGTTATCTGAGATACAAAGGGAGACCATGATTTTGAAAACGATGTACCGCGAGAACCAAACCAACTTGGCGTGCATCAGCACCTGCAGTGAGATTAAAAGCACGGCCTCCATAACTCAGGAAGTCACAGAAAAGCAAAGGTCAGGCACGATTAATGCATCTGGAAGACAATTTAGGTCCGAGAAAAGAAGAACAAGGTAAAATAATTTGCCAGGAGGCAGGTTGCACAAATACCAAGCCCTTCACTGGAGCAGTAAGTGGTGGAATTCCCTGAAGAAAACAGTGATGCAGAAGAGAGGTCAGGAGGCTGCCCCAGAGCAGAGGGGAGGTCACCCCGTAAATGAAGAGGGTGAGGATGGAGCTGGGGGGGAGAAAAAGAAGATAACAAGAATCACATGGTGCCCCCCCAAATAGAATGAGCATCCTGGTTCTTTTCTTATTATGAGACCAAAAGCCTTTGTCAAATATAAGAACAGGTGAAGATGCGTCGGAGGCTGAGGGCACAGCTCTGCAGAGCGTTTGCCTGCCATGCATGGGGCCTGGAGACCAATCCCCAGCACCAAGGSGGAAATCCTATSAGCACTGAGGCTGGAAAAACTGGTTACCTGCAAGGAAGCAAAAACTAGGTGTCTCCGTCTTCTCCATCACCAAACCGCAGACACGAACAGCATGTACAGACTTCCATTCCCAGACAGTTATCACACAAGAGAATCAAACACAATATTCTTAAAAACATGAGGGCTCAGAAAATATGACATCCTGCCTCTTTCCTTAAAGAAAAATTACTGGAAATTTACATAGTACAGTCAGCCAAGAGAGAAATGGAAACTGAGTGTGAATAAAATCAGATCATCTCATTCTTAAAACCCTGTGATGGATTCTCATTGCCCTTACAGTAAAAACTAGACTTCCTATCTTCCTTGGTCCCACCAAGTGTCACCAGCTTGGTGTATTAGGTCACAGCTCAAACAATTTAAAAAGTTTAATAAAAGTGTGGGTAGGACCTAAACTACAAGGAACAGTATGTCTCCTGGGCTTGAAGGGA